AGTTTTATAGGTCTAGGGAACCGATGCTTGAAATGTAAAAACATAAAGAAAAGGTTAATAAATGCAGTAAGAGAAATGTTGCTTTCTTTTAGGATGTTCCAATTTGGTTAGTACCTGGACACCTGAGTGCTTGTTGATTTGCATGACTGTCCTAATGACCAATGACATGAATAGCTGAAAATCTAATTAGGCCTTTGAACTGAGAATAATTTTAAGGGACTCTGACATTTGGTGAGGAATGTGGTGTCAGCAGAATATCTAGCCTGAATGTAATTTCTAATTTGAGGAAGGGTATTAGCATGTAATTATGTGGACATACAGAGGGAGCAATTATATGAACCTGTCATGAACGCTGAACTTTCAGAACAATGAGAAAGGACAAATGGGGACCAGTGCCAGACAGAACTCATAATGTGCCCAGACTACCAGGAGACTTGTATTTGATTTATATACCCAAGAAACACTTCTTAACTACTACCTGGCATTAATACAAATAACTTGTACATGTTGATGCCAAAGTATGTATAATAGCATATAGAGGGGTTGGGGGCCCTGGATAATGAATGTGGATCCCAGAAAGGTCAGGGAAGAGGAAAACATTTCAAAAGTACAAAAGTCAAGTCATTGCAGCTTTAATAAAGTATATCCAATTATTTTTGTGTGAAAATGTTTTTGATATTATCCTGACCTAATAAGCCAATCAAGAAGTGGTTGCCTCCGAAGAGGTATACGAGTAGCTATTGTTGCATAACAACAATCTCAAAACTCAGTGGCTTAAACACTCATTTATGTAGCCCATGTCTCTGTGGATCATCTGACTGACAGCTGATGTAGACTGTGCTCCGGTGATCTTGGCTGGGCTTGCTCTGCTGTAGCCTGGGCTTGTCTGAGGCACCTTACCTGGTGTGGATCTGCTCCACGTCTTTTGGCATGAACAGGCTTGCCTCTGCTTGTCCTTCCAATGGCGATTAGAGAAGCACAAGAGGTCAAGAAGAAACATTATAGGCCACTTTAGTCCTAGACCCAGAACTGAAAAGCTGTCACTTCCACATGATTTTATTGGCTAAAGCAAAACATCTAGGTGAACCTAGTGTCAAGGAGTGGGAAAACATGCTTTGACCCTTTGTGGGAAGAACTGCAAAGACATGTGCTAAGAATTAGGGCATCTAATGCAAAAAAAAAAAAATGGGCCATGAAAGACACAGGAACAGGATGCTTTTTGCAAAAGTATTCAGCTCTAGGAAGCATCTCTGAAATGTACACAGAGGAAGATGGAAGAAAAGGGCCTGTGCTGGGGTACAGGGACCTATACTGTGTATTGCTGTACATAGTAGCTTTGTCCAGGAAGGAACTATGAGCCAAGGACAAAATCAAAGACAGTGTAAACTGCTGCTGACTGCTTCATCCCATAAAGTCATCCTTTATCAAAAAAAAGCTCAGTTAACTGCAACTGTAAATGTATGTGCTTTAAATCTAGAAACTTGAGTTCATAAGCAGAACCAAATGGTAACTGAACAGCTTCCTGTGCTCACCCAACCTTCTAAACCTCTGCTGCTCTGTCCTGGTCTTTCATTTCTAAATTGGAATGTAAACTATTTTGGTGAAGTCCATTTAACTTTGCTCCCAACCACATGATTTCCTTATTGGATCAAATGCTTGGGAAAAGAATTTAAGAAGAGAAATTGACTAGCTTTCCCACCCCTAACCTATATACACACACACATACCCTACTTCCAACTGCACGAGTGGGGAATGGTGAAGATAAACCATCAAAATCTGCCTCAGTGCCAGTTTCTCTTCAGTGCGATGCCAAGAGTCACTGGGCACTGATGCTGAGGATTTTAATGCCAAGCTAACTCCATCTTTGTTGCAGAAATCTCATAAAAACAATAGCATTAGTATTTACAAATCTGCACAACCTTCAAATTGAATACTAATTACATACATTGCCATTATCATTAGGACAACAAAAAATAGGAGTCCTGTCACAATAACTATGAAGTACATATTTGGTATTTTTAATAATTTTATTTTATTACATTCAAGAAATGTAAAGAGTATGAAAGAGTAACAAAGTCACTACAGGCAACTATATTACAGATAACAGTTAGGAATGTGGGGAGAGGTCTAACGGTTGTTTTTGTGGTATTGCCAACATGACCAAAAGTTCTCAATCTTTTACACAGCATGTGTGCGACTGTTATATAAAACACAAAGCTTTCCAAATTAAGAAAACTCACAGAATATGATTCCTGTAAATGAACCTGCAAAAATGTGAAAGAATAAACTTTCTTCTTGGAATCAGATTCAACAATAGGTAATGTCTCTTTGTCTCTCAATACAAAGACTGTTTTAAAGTTTTTGGCAGACAATTCTCATCAAGCTAAGAAAAAGGAACTTAATTGTTATTGCCAACAATGTAGAAGCCAAGAATTTCTGGGTAAACTGGGTTCTTAGTAACAATTTATTTTGCAAGGAATGACTCTAATACTTAGACATAAGCCTTTTCTTAACAGAAGTTATTTCATTTCCTTAAAAGACCATCTAGGGAGCAGGCTGTGAATCAACTTTCAAGTTTATTGCACTACATGTTATTTCTTACTGATGAGAATTTAAAGAATTGTTTAGGGCTACTCAGATTTCAACTGTTATTTCTGTGGAAGTAAACATTTCAGATGTTATGTGAATCAACCATCAATTTAAATTGTCAGTTGAAGCTCAATTTATCCTGGCCTACCTGGGCAAATATGATCAGACAGAAAATATTTATGGGAAAAGTTGATATGTAATTTTGATTCTCATACAAATAGTCTAAACTGAGTTGCTGTCCGTTTCCAAAGGCACATTTAATCAAGGGCTGGACCTCTGCTCTCTGAATATACACGTTTTCTCAAAAATCTAATAATATATTTTGAGCCTATATTATGTTCAGACCCCCATCAATTTTCTGGCATTCTAGAGTTTATACAATTAGGTTTATTCATACAAATTTCATTGTAAGTATAAAGTCTCATGTGTGTTATTGTAACTGTAACACTTATGAATGCCTCACATCAAAGTACCATGAATATTTTCACCCTATAGCTGCTTCCTATTTGACATTTATTGTATTTATCCCAGCAATTCCTCTTCTAGTAAGGCAAATCAGGCTAAACAGCCCACAATGTGTGTGTGTGTGTGTGTGTGTGTGTGTGTGTGCACGTACATGCACACACCTGTATATGTGATTGAAATACCTCTTCTCATTCACTCCGCTGCTCAGTCATCACAAGGTAAAACCTTTTCCAGAGATAATAAAAAGGGACAAAAGAGATAATTTGAGAGTGGAATCAGCATTTGGAGTCATATGCCTGTGTGTTCATTTTCCACTGAATACTTTTGCATTTGAAAAGTGTTTATAAGGAAAAATGACAGAGGGACAGATTTTGGAAAGAAAACAAAATTGGATTAGCATGAGGATAATGAATAAGTGAAGAAAGCATGTTGGGAGAAAATGAGCTCCAGTGTTTTTACTCCATGTTTCCCAAATGCAGTCCATTTAAAAATATTCTTTTATTAAGAAGCTTAGATGAGCAATAACATTCTCTGTTTAACTGAAATGTTTTTATTGTTAAAGTATGCTACTTCTAAAGTCAAATCTACTGTACTAATTTTAATAGTAGAGACTTTCCATTTGATTCCTTAGACATAAAATAAAAAACTAATACTGACATAATAATTTGTTTGCAAAGCAGGTTTCACATCTTTCTTTGAACATAAATGACATGAGTCACTAAAGGGATCAAATAAGTTGTTCAATGCAAACCTATCTTTCTGGCAGTCTTCCCAAGCATAGACAGATGTATATTCATGTAACAAGGAAGGTAAACAATATAGTGACTAGTACATGGACTTTAGCATCTTGAGCATAGGTTCAGCCTTAACCACCTCCCATGTCTGTGATCATGGACACACTTACTTACATTGTCTTGATCTGCAAAATGGAGTTAGCACCTCTTGTGGCAGGATATTGAGCGGATTCAAATGAAAGTTTAAATAACACATCGATATAGTGCCTGTCTTGTAATAGGTACTTAGTGTATGACAGCAACATATGTATATTTGAAATGTATCACATGTATATGTGCATCACATTTTTAAACACACGTGTCTTAAACAAACATGTATGTCATTATATATAATGTCTAATAAAATATCTAATCATACAAACACAGCTGAAAAATGATATAATATTGGCCTATTCTATGATTTGAATGTCTTAGAATAATCCTTTATAGATGGTATAACCAGTTCATGTGTCAATTAATATTTCCTAATTTTACATGTTAAACAAAGGAGGATTTCTTGATTAAAGAAGTTTGGAAACTATAGTAGATTGGGGCAAGAAAGGCCTTTAGGATCAGATCTGGTTTGATATCTGACTTACCTATTTACAATCTAAATGCACTTGGGAGTTATGGGCTCTCTCTAAACATTAGTTTTCAGCTCCTAAATGGGGGGATATTTAATACTACTTATAATTATTTAGGATTAAATATGATAATGTATGGTTGACCCTGGCACACAGTATGGGCTCAATAAATATTAATTTTTTTTCTCTGATGCACACAGCTGATTTTACCTTGTTTTAAAGGTAAAGAATTTCTATGAAAGTTTATGCCTAGGTAATTTCCAATGGTAAACTGAATGCTATGTTAATGATGGAAGTAAAGAAACAGGAGTGTGTCCTCTTCTTTAAGGACAGCCACAAGGGACACCCACAAGAAGTATGATCCTATCACTGAATATAAAGACACACACATTACAGAATCAATTATAGGTGAAATCTAGGACAAGTTCAGGTGGCATAATAGTAAGGTGTGGACAATTGCATTTTGCTGCATTCTCTCTCCAGAGAGATGAAGAGTCAGAGTGAGTTTTCTACTGTTTAATAAGGACAACTACCTTTTATACATAAACATCCTAGTTTAGACAAGAGGCAGACAACTGTGAGAGATATGTGAAGACATATTTCAGTTTTATTATCTTTTAGGCATAGACGGGTATGTTAATCCATTTCCATACACAATTCCTGTAATCAAAGATTGGAAGTGAAACTTAAACTGGCAAAACCTGTCTCCAGTTGCCAAAGAGTTAAACCGAAGAGATGCAACCTCAGAAGTTGAGGGTCCTGCATGATCTTCCTTCCCAGCCTTGCTCTCTGTGCATATCTCTGCCATTACACAAACAAGCGTTCCTTTTCATCCAGGCACTGATTCAACAGTTATAACGCAACCTTCTTGCTTTCTGTCCAGAGCTCTGAGTCGTGAATGTTCTGCTCACTAGGTTCCGACAGCTGTTTTGGACTTAGTTAACCACAGCAAATGAAAGCCAAGAAATCATTGTGATATAACCCTCTCTTTCTATTGTCACATTGCTTCTTTCTGCAAATACATCTTAGGAGTTAGACTTTGAATCTTTGATCTCCCACACCAAAGGAAAAAGCATTTATATGAAAGTGATTTCATTTTAGTGTTCATGGTTTATAGTGGAAAGCAGGTGTTTAAAAATTTTAGAATTTCTTTAACAAAATTCTAAAGAGAAAAGAAAAAAGAGAAATCACAGTATTTACAGAGATAACAGAATGGCTTAGCCATGCAAAACAAGTAACTTTGGTTTTTCCCCTTTCACTTTGGTTTAAATATTGACCAAGATTCAATTGTTTCCTGCCAAATAAAACTTCACTAAATCAAAAGATTAGAGGCAAAATAACATATTTTCTTTTTCCCCATAATATTTTACACAGCTTTGAGTCTAATAGGATATTTTATGTATTTAATCCATACCAATGCACTACAGGAAGCTTTTATTAAACAGATACTATTGCCCAGACAGTAAATGGTTTACAAATGTACAATAACATGTGTTTCTAAATAATGCAGAAGTGGCAAAATATTATTCCTATCTGACTTGAATCTTTAATTTCTTTTTCATTGCCTTCATAATTTTTATTCCATTCGTCTAAAAAAAACCTAACACCAGTTTTCCTCTTTCTCCCAAAGCACACAGTTCAATACCTGGAAATCTGATGTTCATTTTCTTTTTCTATAAAGTTATGCAAATCCTGGGACAAAAGGACTGTGCAGTGTTGTTCTCCCAGAATCCAGGCTTCTGCTTGAAAGAGCAAAGTTTAAAAGTCTAGTCACAAGTAACTATTGCCCATATCCAGTCTACTTCAAAAAGTTTCCATTTTACTACCACCCTAAAAAGTTTCTCAAGCATAAAACACGTTTATAAAGTTACAAATTTGAATGTAACTAAAGATACATAGACATTTTATTATTACACTTTTATGTACTGCTTGATAAATTATGTACCAGTTAAAAACACTAAATCATCTCAAGGTGCATTCAATATCTGTAGCGTAGTTAACAAAAACACACGAAAAAAATATATATTCTATATTCTGTGGAAAATAACACAGCTTTGATAATGACCACTGTTAAAAATCTCCAATTCTGACTGATATCTTTTTAAACAACAAATGGGTACAATTTTAAGGCAGTGGATAACCCAAAGGATTTAACACCAATTTTCAAATATAGCGATTTGCATTCTGATCTATGACAATGGAAATGTTATCCATGATTTTTCCAAACTGTCTCTCACACATTGATTTTTTTTTCTTTTGACAGAAAATAATTTACTAGCAGATGTTGCGAAAGGTAAGTGCTACCCAAATTCTGTTATGGTTTTTCCAGTACAGGCAAGCAGTCAGTTTGGGAGTACCATTATTACATATGTGCGTCCATATGTACATGAGATTTGCTTCTGAGAGTCGGCTGGCAGCGTATACACAGAAGTCGCTCATCAATCTGACTCTCTGCCTCCCCCTCTCCTGATAAAAATCACAGTTTTGGAATAGGGCATGTGTGTGTCCCCAGTCTTCACAAGCTGCCACCTTTGGGATTTAGGGGCTTGTGAAACACTTTGGGGGCATTATTGATAGCAATCAGAATCAGAAATGTACCTGCTCAGATTATCCATATAAACAACTGAAATAAAAACATTACATTATACATCAGATTAACAGCAACTCCCAGAACAAAGCTTACAGTGTATAAAAATAGCTACGTAAAAAATTGACATAAAAGGCAAACCAAAAGGAAATCCTCAGTGCAGACATTTACAGAAAAAAAAAAAAAAAAAAAAATCAAACCAAACACAACATATGACCTATCATCATGGCTGCCAAAACTTGTAGTTATTGTTTGTAATTTCATTTCATTGACTTGAGACAATTCTCTAAAATCTTGTGACAGCTTGGTAGAATGAACTGCTTAATATTTGAACCATGAATTGCTGTCAATGTCTTTGTATATGTCTTAAATACAATCCACGTTCATGCTTCAATTGACCTATATAGTTTTTTCCTCTGAAATAATGAAAAAAACAAAAAAAACACCATAATTTAGTAAGTTACATAGCAATCATTTTTCACCATCAACAGATGCTTTGTACTATAAGGGACAGGAATCACTTTATAGGAGACCTTCCTAAAACTCCATTGTCCCCGAGCCCATCCGTTACCCCAGGCATTGTTATGGCCTTCTGCAAACAATTTGTTGCAACAGTTGAGAGTCATTATTTTTATGAAAATTTCTTAATTTATATGAAGATTATAAAGTTTTTCAGGAAAACATTTCATTCTATTTTCTTCAGGTGAAAAAATTCACTTATTTCTTTAAATCACACTCTTTTGTGGGCTTTGTCTTCAAGCTCAATTTTCCTTTGAGGACTCACTCTATCCAATTCCGAGGATAACAGAAGGTAAAAATCTATGTTTATGAAAGATGAAGGAATGAGCCCCAGGCAGCAGCAAACCCCACACCCACACACAAGAGCAGGTGGGGGTGCTGTATGCCAGGCTACCAGTGAAAGGCAAAGTGGGGGAAAGAACCCAGCTCCTACTTTGTGCTCCCAATCAGCTGGAGATCCTGGTTTTCAGATTTTGAAAGAATCTTATCTAAACTATTCTAGTTTTCTTTCCTGTCTGCATCCTTCCCATTACAATTCTTTCCCATGGCCCATATTTTCTCTATGGGATTAATTTGGGTGACATATTCAAACGGTGACTATGGCTTATTTGTAATGAACCAAAGTTTTACTGTGCTTGTTAGGGATCTGAACTTCAGATGAGTAAGCTACAGAAACAGTTATTCTCACCCAAGGACACACAGAATAATGTGTCCAAATGGCTTCTTTTAAAAAATCACACTCATATAGTTATTACATATAAATATATGCAATATATGCAACATTTGTATATACATTATATACACATATATATACACAATATGTATATCATACACTATCTGCAAAAGTGTGTGTGTGTACACACACACAAATTTGTTAGCCCTTTCATTAAAATATTTGGGAGATGGCTGTATAAATACTCTGACAGTTTTAAGTACCTTAAATCCTTGGATTAAAAGTTTTATATTTTAAAATTATTATCATAATTGCTTTTAAAAATAAATTTAAATTATTAGAATCCGTGATCGCCCAACCAATATATCAATTAATAAAATAAAGCTTCTTTGCACACAGCAACATTTTTGACATTAGAAACAAAATGCTAATTAAATGTTAAAAATCTCCAAATTGATTTTAGTTATTCAGAGGATTATGCTGATTTGTTTCGAGGATAGGAAAATGGTTGAGAGTCCATTCTTCTAAGAACATCTGAGTTACCAAAGTTTACTGTTGAAAAACTCTATTCCAGTTTTAAAAACCTCAATTATACAGCATCTTAATGTCAAGCCTTTCCCTTGCATCTCCTAGAATGACTCACATTTTACTGGGAATTATTTCTATAAACCTCACACAGCCTACTCACCTGGACAACAACTCGACCAGTTTCTCTCTTAGGCTTCTGTTTTGTGATTGTTTTCTTCCAATTTTTTATTTTCTTCCAGATTACCAAGGTCCTTGTTTACGTGTTTTGATGCAGTCCTATAAAGGAATGAAATAAACATGATTACATTGACACACACATTGTTCTTTTTCAAATTTAGGGTTCACATCAATGTATTTTTGAGAAGTAGACATATTACATCTAACACAGGCAAATCACTAGGGTGAACAATTCCACATCTGTGAGCCTTGATTGGTAACAGAACCCATTCCAATGAAATTACTTTGATGGTGGGATTGCATTAAATATATGCTAAGAGAAAAAGACGTCCATCTTTTTTAATGCAGACTATACATACTTAGTTGCATCATGTTTTTGGCTGGGTTTTTTTCTATCTCTCCACTTTCTGAAAAGTAATTATTATCATTTGCTAGTCAAAATTTTCATTCTGGGCAAATAATTTCTGGCAAAAATTGTCTAAGGTAGTTCCATTAGAGCCTTTTTCCTTTTTGGCATTCCCTATTATGTATCCGGGTTGAGCCCATCCCCTGCATCTTTGTTTTAGGTTCTGCTTTATTGGATAAGCCAAAAGCAAGAATAGAAAGAGACCTAAGTTTATGACAGGAGATTGGCAACAGCAGAAGCTAAAGCAGCTCTCCTGTGGTGGTTCTCAAAGAGCGATCCCGGGTTGGTAGAATCAACACCGCCTGAGAACTTGACAAAAGTGCAAATTTGGAGGCCCAGCAACAGAACCATGGAAACAGAAACTCTGTGGATGAGGCATGCAGTCTACAATAAGATAAACAAGATTTGGTGGTTCTGCTGCCTGCTCAAGTCTGAGAACCACTGCCCTAGTGGTAGCCGTGGTTACACATATCGACTAGGTCCTGTCCTTTAAGAGCTGAAGACAGGTTTTCTTAAACACACAGCCAAATCCTTTGGTTTTGTGACCACTGGTGAAATCATAACTGTATTTCTGAGTACATCATTTCCTTCTTTCTTGTTTCCCTCCCTCCCTCCCTCTGTCTCGTCCTTCTTCTTTTCCTAACTCACTCCCTGTTGAAGCGCATCAGGGGAACCACAATATATGGTACTTCAAATTATTGCCATATAATTCCTGGGAATTCTTCTACTTTTAAGAAATTCTATAATCCTAGATGTGTCTCTTAGTTAAGAAAGCTGGGGTAGAAGACTCAGTTTTCTCTAAAAGTATTTTTATTCTTTGAATAGAATTTCTTAACTCATTTGCTAAGAATCACAATTTTAATATCCATATGAGATAATATACCAATCATAAAAGTACAATTCAGTAAGTTTCAAAAACTGGATGCATGAATGCCCAGCTCAAGAAACAGAACACTTGCAGACCCTGAAGTACCACATTGCACTCCCTTCCAGTTACTATCAGCTCCCAAAAGTTACCACAATTCTGAGTCCTCATTGAATATTTTCACCTGTTCTTGTAATTTGAATATACGTGGAAGTATACCACATGTATTATTTTTGTCTGCCTTTTATTTAAACACAACCTATGTTTGTGACATACATATATAATGGTGCATGCAGTTATAGGTTTACTATTCTCATTGCTGTATAGCTTGTCATTGGTAAATAAATCATAATTTATTTACATAGTTTACTGGTGATGGGTATTCTTGCTCTTTTTTTTCTTTCTGAGATTTTACCTGTATATAAGTTAGATCTTTTGTGTGTGTCCTACGTTTCTTATGCTTTTATGTGTCTTATCTATTATTTTTCCCTTCTGTGCCTTGATCTGGGTATTTTCCATTGATTTGTATTCCAGCTTCCTTCTCTTGTGTTCTGTTGTGACCAATCTATTTTTAACTTGATCCACCAAAGGCTTATTTTTCAATATTATATTTTTCAGGTCTAAAATGTCAATTTGATTTTAAAATACATTTCAATTCTCTATTCCATTCATCTCCAATGACCATCTTTTCTTCCACTGTCAATATATTAGAGTTATTTTAATATCCTTGTCTATTAACTATAGTATTCAAATCATGCATGAATCTGCTTGTCTACTTTCCCTCTTGTTTGTTGATTGTATTTTCTTGACTCTTTGCATATATAGTCCTTTTTATTTTGCATGACACCATGTATAAATGAACTGTAGAGACACCATACAATGTTATTTTCAATCAGATAAGGTTCCCTTTCTTAAGTAGACAGGGTGAGGAGCTAATGATTCTCATTCAATCAGAGGATAACCTAGATGGAGGCTCAGTTGCAGTTTTAAGACTCAGTCTTCAGTCTTCTGGTTTGCCTCTATTCCTAAGACATGGCCCTCTCAGCCTTCTGATTAAGATTCTGGCATGTCTCACCTTCTCTAGCCCTTAAATACAAAGATCCACCTCTTTTTTTTGTAGAGTCTCCACCCAAATCTCCAGCCATCTGTCTCATGACACTTCAAGATACCGGCAAATTCTTTAGTCTTCTGGATTGAGTATAAGCTCCTTGAAAATAAGGACCATGTTTTATTTCTATTTACTCACAGCACATAATACACTGACTGAAGGTATTTGTTGTGATGAACTGAACTGACCTCACTGTCAATGTATTTTCTCTTCACTGTGATGTTCTTAATAAAATTTTCTTTTCTCTAGCTTACTTTATTTTAAGAATATAGTATATAATATATATAAAATACAAAATATATGTTAGTTGGTTGTTTATAGTTATATCTATTTCCTTCTACTGTTCCTTATACTAGTGTTCACCAATATGAAGTTTATCAAACAATTCCGGGGAGAGCGGGGGGATTGGGAGGAGGGTTCCCAGGGGGAAAAAGAAGAAACATCTCTAACAAAAATTGCAAAAAAAAAAGAAAGAAAGAAATTAAAAAAAAAATGAAGTTCATCATACCCAGCTGCTTTCTTACAGACAAGTGAAACAGAGAAAATAGTACTTCGAATGAAGGAACCTGAGTAATGTCTTACTCCAAACTTTTTGATAAAACTGCACAAAATTATACGCATAAACATATCCCTTGATTATTCTAATAGCTCCTAACTATATACTCCAATGTATACTAATAGCCATAATTTCTATAAATCAGTAGGACATGTGGCCATCAAGGAAAGCAGCATGATTCTCAAAGCTACTTCTTCCCTCTGCTTTCTTTTATCCTCCTTGCCTTCCCTGACCACTCTAATTTTTCCTCCATTCCTTTTCTCTTTACTCCCCCTTTCATTATGTCTCTCTCTTTCTTTCAAAGTCACTTCATTAACTACGATTCTTTGCCTCTACTGTGAAAATCCCAACTTTTTTGGAGCCAGTAGAAAGAATGACATATAAAAGAGTCAATGCTCTGTAGGCATATCCCCCAAAATGTTAAAAAATTGTTTTACTAATCTAATAAATCAATTATGCAATTTTGATTTTTTTCAACCTGTTTTGACCTGTATGGAAAAGTGGAAGGTTTATTAAGGTTGAAGACATGAGGCTCTTTTTTTCATAACTTTGATATAAAACATGTACTATAAGAAATTCTAATAGTTATTTTTTTAAAACCATGCTTTGTTAATCCTTACACTTGATAATTATAAACTCTTAGAAAAATGGTGAATAAACTATTTGGCTGCATTTGAAAGTGACAAAAAGAGGGAGAGAGAGAGAGAGAGGGAGAGAGAGAAACTACAGGGGATTTGACCCTCGTACGGGGTGAGCTCTGTTTCTCCACAGCCTTTCCTCTGAGGGCCGGCACTTTCCCACAGGAGAGACATAGCATAACTGAACAAAAGCTGGAAATCAAGGGGTAAAAACTCAGAAAGGAGAGAGCCACAAAGTGGAGGGGGCCCCAGATTTGTATGTAAAATGGAATATTTCTTGGCTGATCCCTGTGCATCTGTGGGAGAAGTTTCACACAGCCTCAGAGAAAGCATAAACACTTGACATAGATTTTAGCTACTGCCTACACAGGGAAACAGAGTTAGGAGTTGAAGCTCACCAAGCCAGAGGTCCTTGGCGAACAAATCAGTCTTTCTATTAAAATCTCAGAAAAGCCAATTAAAGACTGTGCATCAATATTCAGCATTCACCCTAAGACATTTGCCATATGAAATATAAAAGTAACCTTCAAAGATCTAGAAAACCAGTCAGTAAAATAGTCTGCTAGGAAAAGCAATCCATATCCTTTAGGAGAATATGACACAAACTACAATCTCTATAACATTTCACACCAAAAAGATTAGTATATAATATTAAAAAGTTACCATACATATAAAAAATAGAAAAATACAACACAAATTTCAGTGAATGTCCTTGGATGACAAAGAATTTAGAATTAGCAGGCAAGAACTTTAAATGTTATTATATCACAGGTTTAATGAATTAGAGAAAAATATGGTAACAATGAGAAAACAGATAGAAAATGTAAACAAAAATAATTCTTTAAATTACAACTACAATTTTGGAATTGAACAATTCACTAACTTGTCTTATCATTGGATTAGAGGTGGTGGAAGAAAGCCTCAATGAACTTAATGACAAAAAAATATAAATTATACATTCTGAAAAAGAAAAAGACAATAGAAAGAAAGAAGAAAGCAGATCTCCAGTGGCCCATGGCACAATATTGTATGGACTAATACATGAGTAATTGGAGTCCCAGTAAGAGAAGCAAAAGAGAATGAGCAGAAAATATATTTGAAAAAACAATAAAACATTCCCAGATTTGTTGATCTCTATTAACTTGCAGATACAAAATGCGTAGCAACCCCCCAAGCTGGAATGATAAAAATATTAAAAGAAGAATATGAAAGTAGAATAGAAAATTTGTTCAGGGAAACAATGATGTAAATAACAGCTCATGTCTCATCAGGGAAGAAAAAATGTATACCAGAAATACTTAAACATGCTTAAAACACTGAAAAAATCTCTCAAACCCGAATTTTAAATCCAGTAAAAAGACCTTTTAATTAAAGGCAAAATAAAGACATATTAAATTGAATGAAAGAAAACTTCTTGGAATCATCAGTAACAGAACTGGCTAAAAGAAGTATTAAAGGATAGTCTATGGTTGAAGGAAAATTACACCAGATGAAAACTCAGATGTGCAAGAAAGAATAAATACAAA